GGCTTGGAGAAAAATTAAATCTGTTCTCGATTAGGGGAATTAGGAGTTTTGTTTTAGATGACCAATAGGAAGTTGAATACAGGAGTCTGACCCTCATAGGAACAGTTAGGTCTGGACACATCAATGTGGGAGCCATCAGTTTATGGATAGTTTTATAGGTGGTACTGGATCAGGTCACTGAAGGGGAAATGTATAGAGAGGCGGAAAGAAGGTAGAGAACTGGGCCCTGGGGCATCTTGCATTTAGAGCTTAGGAAGAGGAAGGAGAGGCATTGAAGGACATCAAGAAAGACCCATCAGCGAGGTGGGAGGAAAGCCAGGAGAGATGCTGCCTGGAAGCCAAGAGAAGACAATGTTTGAGGCGGGAGCTCTCCATGGCTGAATGATTCTGAGGGAGTTAGGCCAGGTCAAAGAATGGACCACTGGATGTGGCAGCTTGGAGGCCCTTGGGGATATTGACAAGAGCAGTCCTGACTGGAACAAGTTAAAGCAACAAGGAAGTGGAGGCAGCAAGTATAGAAGACTTTTGTTTTGGCAATGAGGTAGCAGCTGGAGAAGAATGGAGTGTCAAGAGAGAATTCAAAAAAAGAGAGAGATGAAATTATTATAGCACATTTGTAGAAAGGGAAATGGCAACGCAGGAGAGAGAGGCACCAACTGTGGAGCACAGTCTAGAGCAGGTGAGGGGTGAAGGGGTCCATTGTCCAAGTGGAGGGGAGTGTCCCAGGAGCAGGGACGCTTTGTCCATGTTACAGGGGAGGAGGCAAGGCCAACAGCCGCTCATGCTGTGAGTCTGGCAGATGTGGTGGTGGTGGGCTGAGCTAAGCTGGCCGGTTGCTTCTATTCCCAGCACTCTGTGATGCCTATCAGCTTAAATGGAGGATTAGGAGAATGGCGTCTGTTTGAGGAAAGAGGAGAAGGCATGATAGAGTCATTTTGGAGAGTAGGGATAAAGTTTTAGGAAAATATAGAATTTCTTAGAGGTGCTGAGTGTCCACTTGAAGTTTGTGGACAGAAGTTTAAGTGGAGACCAGTCAGTCCAGTTATATTATCCTCCAGGTGCTCAGGAACAGGTGCCATGTGGAGAGTCTGGTTTAACTGGAGTTAGGGTCTTGCCAGGTGAGAACTGGGAAGGTGAGGGAGTGGAGGACATTTGTGAGCTGGTGATTATCTGGGGGTCTGTGGAGTCTAAGCTGAGACAGGAGGGCAGGGAGAATGGGAAGGGGTGGGGGAACATAGTGGTGGGTCAGTGGATGGGGCAGAAGGATTGCTGGAATGGGAACCAGGTTGGGTGAGCCACATAGATGGGAGATGATGCAGCTCTTGGTGGAGACAGGCCTAGGGTGCAAACACGCAGGTGGGTGGGTTGGAAGGGTGGATAAAAAGATTGTTGAAATCAAGGAAGTCAAGGAACTGAGAGGTCAAGGTGTTGAAAATGGAGTCACTACTAATAAATGTAGTAGCAGATGGAAGACACTAGGCGCTGAGGGGCTGAGGTCATCCGTGAAGGAGAGGGAAAAACCAGGATATCTTACTTGTATCTCAAATTCAACATGTCTGAAACTGAAGTCATCCACACCTCCCCACTCAAGTAAATGGTACCACCATTCATAGCCAGAAACTTGGGTGTCACTTTGATCCCCACACCCAATTAAGTCACCACATGTTTTGGATTCTATCTTGTAAACATTTCTTAAATCCATCTACTTCTTTCCATCCCCAAGGTGCACACCCTAGTTCAGGCCATCTCTCTAGGGATTTGTCGTTGTCCTCAGGATAAAGTCCAAAGTCATTAGCAGAGATTTACAAAGAAAGCACTACAAGGATCCAGCCTCTGTCTACTCCAGCCTGACTCCTACCTGAGCCCCTCACCCAGCCTGAGCGCTTCTGGGTTCTCCCCATCTTTGTCACCAGGCATGCTCTCCCTTTGCATAAGCTGTCCCCTCTGTCTGGAATTCCACCTGCTTGCTTGGCAAAATCCTCCTTCTCTAGATGTCTCAGGGAGCCTTTTTCTGGATGCCTGGATGTTAGATCCCCTTTCCTCTCTCCCCAGCTTCCCCAGTGTGCCATGAGTTAGGTAGCTGTCCTCTTCTCTAGAATGTAAGCTCCATGAGGTCAGGGACCATGTCTGATTTTTCCCAGATGACTCCTTAACACCTCATATGGAGCTTTCACATAAAAGTGAATAATAAAGAACAAATATTTCCGGGAATGGAAGGCTCTAGAGGTGGAACAGTTCTGGGTGATGACCAGGTCTGGGATGGGGTCCTGCTAGTGGGTAGCTAAACGCTGTGGCAAAGGTAGTCACGGGATGGAAAGGACAGGATGATGCACAGGTGACCCCTGAGGCCTTGGGTCATGGGAGAATAGCAGGAGGAGAAGGCCTTGGGCTATAGGCTCAGTCTCCAATGAATGAGGAGAGATAGGTCACAATGATGTGGGCAGGACAGAGGGCAGAAGAGGAAGCAAAGAGGGATTTTTTTCAAGAAGGTGAAGGTGGACAGGTGTGAGTGGTGGTGAGAGCAGTGTGAGTCTTGACATTGTGAGTGGGATTGAGGATAAGATGGCCTGATGGTTGAAGTGGTCCTTAGTCCCAGGCTCCTCTGAAAGTCCCCACTTGGCTCAGTGGCTCAGGACTCGAGACCTTTGGGAACAGCATCTAAGGAGAGGTCGCCATGGGAGCTGTCAGGTCCTGGAGTGAGCTCACCATAAGCTGGACCCAGCAGCTGTCCCTGGAGGATGGATCTGGAATCTTGGGGGCATTGACTATCGTGGGGTCCCCTGGCCTGGACTTGGGAGCTACTGTGGTCTGAGCAGTGTGGGGCTATCTGGCTCTGAACTGGTCAGGAGTGCCACCCTGTTCTCTCGGGCTGGTGGTCCAGCTCTGGTCTAGATTGAAAGTGGGAGTTATTCTTGTTTCCTGGAGTCAGGAGTCTAGTAGATGGTATTGGTGCCCTGCCCATGTCCCCTTTAGTGGGGGACATCCATTCCCCAAATGCTGTGAATATTGGCTGCTGATGGCTTATGGCTACCCCTGAAGAATTGATTTTGACTGAGCCAGAGCCACCTACCCCTTCCTGCCAACCCTCCTGCCACTGGGGGCGCCTGAAGTAATGACTGACTGAAATGTGGCAAGACTTATGATCTGAAGCCCCCTCATCCCACAGGGATCGGGCCAAGGCTGCATCTTCCTGAGTCTACATCCCTGCTTAGTTCAGCCCCTCCCTCCCCCACTCCCCTTGCTCCTTCCTTCACATGCACGCAAACCCCTGCCTCTGGCTCTGCTCCCAGGGAGCCTGCCCTAAAGACGGGTGACTTTGATCTTATGCCGTAATCAGGGGTGGGTGTGGAGGCTACCCGTGGACCACAGAGGACACAGCCCCTGACAGACTCAGCACATCTGTGTGGTCTTGAAGGGCCTCTTCCCCTTTCTAGACTCAAGTTTGCTTACCTAAAGGTGAGACCTTGATGCTGGCTCTAGTTAAACAACAGAAACAAAGCAAAGCAAGCAAACAAATGCTTTGCTGAACTCCGCAGGCTAGGTGTGGTGGAAGATTCAGATGAACAAGACTTAGTTCCTTCCCCCAAGCAGCTCACAGACTATTTACTCATCCAACAAGCATTTACTGAAGGCAGCAGGGACCTGGATGACTCAGTGACCTGCCCGTAAAGGGCTCACAGACTGATAGGGAGACACTCAGGGGAAGTAACAGTTCCGATCTGGGGAGAGTGGCAGAGGGACAAGTGAGGCTGGCACTTGGAGAGATGGGTAAAGCTGTCCTAGAGTTTTGAGGTAGGGTCACAGAGAAGGTGGGAAGGGCATTCTAGCCAGAGGAAATAGCATGACAAAGGCACGAAGAATGACACCACGTGACGTGTCTGCCTGGGGAATCAGGAGCCCTTTGGTATTACTGGCAGGTAGAAAGGAGGAGGAAGCTGGGATGAGGAGGGCAGGTCAGCGGGGGCCATGCTGAGGGCATGGGGCTGGTGATGGTGGAAGAAGTTTTAAAGCAGGAGGAATGACATGGTCAGTTGCATAGACGGGTAAATCACTCCATCCCTGTAGCGGAGGCAGATGGGGGAGGTCCAGTAGGTAGTTAGGTTGTCGTAAGGAGAGGAAGAGCAGATTCAGGTGACATTTAGGGACTGGAATCAGTGGGATTTGGTGCCAGTGGGGATGTGGGGTATGAGGGACAAGGATGTCAGGCTCGTCCCTTCCCCTGGCTTGGGCAGTTGGGTGAATAGCTGTGTCCTGCATGAGATGGGGCAGGGCATCTTCCAGGGGGCAAGTCTGTGGGGAGCTGCTGAGGTCAGCTTGGGAGTGGCAAGCATGAGACGGCTGGGGGCCTCCCAGGAAATTGTCTAGTGGGCATTTGGTGGGGCTCGGAGGCATGTTAGGGTGGAGGTGTGGTTCTGGGAGTTGCCAAAGTCTGAGTGGTTGTGGGGTGGGGGAGTATGGGATGGGGAAGTTGTATCAGTGAAAAAGAACATGAAATTCCATAGTCTCCAGGATCCACGAGGGACCTTTCAGCTCAGACACTCTCAGTGGGCCCTGGCCTGTAGGATGTGCCTCTTGGGCACCTTGACAGACCCCCATCCCTGGCTTGCTCTCAGCCCTGCCCCTCCTACTGTCAGAGGGGACTCACCTGTCTGGGACCCGTGCTGGGCAGGGCTAGGGAGGCCCAACCCACGCTCATTCCTGTGATGGGCGCTCACTGAGAACCGGCTCCTGCTGGGCACAGAGTTCCCTGGGGTTCCTCTCCTCCGGCTTTGGTCAGCTGGTTGCAGAACCAAGAGGCCCCTGGAGTACCTTCTGCCTTTAGGCACTCCCCACCACGTCCTGGGGGCACACTCTGTGTGTGTTGGGGGGTGATGGGTGAGCCTGGATCTGAGGTTCTGGTGCTCAGGTGCTCACCGAGTTGCCTTGGCATCCTCTCTGAGGTCCACCTAATCCCCCCACCCCGGTTTTCCTATCCACCACTCCCCATCTGGCCTGCAAAGTACTGGGAAAATCGTATTTATTAAGAGGTTTGACATACACTATTGCCATATACAAAATCCCCGCCAGCCATCAACCTCCCTCCCCTGAGGCTCAGGACCCAGGGACCAAACTACCCGCCACCTCCCACATTGGCCCCTGGGTGAGCTTCCTGAGCCCCCACAGCCACCGTCCTCACCACCCTGCTACGGTAAGGATGCCCCTGCCCCTGCCTGTTTTCCTGGGTGGCCTCAGGTGGGGGGGACCTGGTGATCTTATCTGCTGACCTCGCAGATTATGGATACCGACCTGCATCCACGGGGGCCGACCCAGCCTTCATTAGGACAGAGTTCCCATCCTCAGGGTGCCCTCCCTGGGAGAGGACATACGGTGGGCAGGTGTCGGGTAGGCGTTCCCGGCGCCGAGACCGCCGGTGCCTGGGGCTGAAGATCTCCGTGCATCTCTTGCCCACCAGGTAGAAGACCTCACTGAGGTTGAGCAGGATGCAGATGGCAGCTGTGGTCACCATGAAGTAGGTGAAGACCTTCTTTTCCGTGGGCCGGGAGATGTAGCAGTCCACAGTGTGGGGGCAAGGCTCCACGGAGCAGGCCACTACGCGGGGCATGTCGTAATCCTTGTAGAGGCGGTGGAAGATATAGAGGAAGCCGGCATCCACAGCGGCCTTGAAGATGAGACTCAGCAAGTACGTCCACCACAGCCCGCCCCGCTTCTTGCTCGGGTTGTTGTACAGGGACGGGGCATTGGGCCCGTGTTTCAGGCGGTGCTTGCGCTCCCGTTCCTCACGGTAGGCCACGTGCATGACCACGAGCAGCGAGGGGCACGTGACCAGGATGAGCTGCAGGGCCCAGAGGCGCACGTGGGACACGGGGAAGAACTCGTCATAGCAGACGTTGGGGCAGCCGGGCTGCTTGGTGTTGCAGACAAAGTCCTTCTGCTCATCATCCCACACCTCCTCCGCCGCCACCACGTACACCAGCACGCGAAAGATGAACACCACAGACAGCCAGATGCGGCTCAGAGCCGTGGAGTACTTGTTCACGCCACTCAGGAGGCCCTGCAGAAATGCCCAGTTCATGCTGGCTGTGTCCCGGGTACTGCACGTGGAAGATCTATACCTGGGTGCTACCCACCCACTCAGGCCTTGGGAGCCTTGAGGCCTGGGGGAACCTGGAGATGGGCACGCTTAATGCTGGTGCGATGGAAAAAATCTTTTCACAGTCACCGTGTCATCATGTCCTCACTCCCAATGACTTGGTAGGGTAGGGATTGCCCCTGTCCCCATTTCACAAAGAGTAAGTGAAGGCCCAGAGATACCCACCCAAGGGTCCACAGATGGAAGTAGCAGAGTCTTGCACTTTGGCCTTCGGGTTCCAAAATCAGGATCTATTTTATTCTACAAGGTAATAGATACATGTGAAGACAATCATCCTGCATGGACATGCCAGCTAACCTCTATTACCCCATGTTTCAGCCCATGACTTCTAAAGAGATTGTGGGAAGGTTTGAATTGGATGATCTGCTCTCCCGTCAGCTGTCAGGGCTGGGCCAGGGCAGGAAAGGTGGGAACGTACCCTCATCAGTTGTCAGATCCATCCCATTTTTACTGAACACCAACAAGAGCCTGGCCCTGTGCTGGGGACGTTCACATCAGCCCCTTGGTAAATCCCAGAACAATCTTCATCCTTACTCCTTGCCTCTGGCTCCAGGAAGGTTCTCCGCCCTGGCATTCCCTCCCAAACTAAAGAGAGGTGCTTTGGAATCATGGGGACTTGATATCATCCCTGCCAACCCATGTATTGATGCTGGGGCCTGAGGGCTGACTGTCTTGACCACAGTGGGTTCCTCTGGAATTCCAACCATTCCAGCTTTAGGAAGGACCCAGGATGGATTCTGGCATGGTCTGGACTCCCCATTTACTTTCTCTCAGGGCACCCCCTCCTCTGTCCATTTAGTGGCTGTTTGCTAGCCGCATTTCCATTATTTCTTCTCAGGCCCCTGTCCTGTGGACTCCGACCTCCACACCCCCTTATCTGGAGTCCCCATCAGGCTCCATCTCCAAACCCTCCCCTCCTCCTACTCTCTTCCCTCCCTATCCCCAATCACTGACTCTGCTCTCAGCCTCTTCAGACATCGTGTGCCTGGGACATTTTCCAAGCAAGAGGTATCGCCTGTACCCAAATGGTCTATTCACCTGTCTTATTTTTTTGCCATACTGTCAGCTGCTAGAGGGCAGGCTCTTCACCTCTGTCTCCCTAGCACCCAGCACTGGCCTGGCCCAGTGGACACACAATAGATGTTTGTTAAACTGAACTGAAACCCATTACTTCCTGATCCCCCCTCTTCCCTAATCTTCTGTCCTCCCTTAGGTCAGCCAGGACATTCCTTCTCCTCCTTGGCACTTCCCTGGGGATCCTTTAGGGACCCTGAGCCTCTGACTGCCTCCCTAAAGCCCAGCTCACAGCCTGAGATCCCTTGGATATCCTCAGCTCAGCTGGTTGCTTTCTTCCGGCCAGCCTCCTGCCCTATTCAGTCCTCACCCTTCTTGGGTCCAGTAGCTCCTCCCTTGTCCTTAGGCTTGTCCGTCTGCCTCAGGACCTCCTGGAGGCAGCTTTTGTTCCTCACTCCCCTGCTGGGTGGGGCTTTCTGGGCCAATGAGCCAAGCGAGAGTGATTGGGTGGGCAGGCAGGAGGGCGGATTTCCCCGGGCACATATTCAGAGCAAACACCTGTGGCACTTCTCTCCTGGCCCACGCCTCCTCTCTAGCCTGGCTGGGCATGGCTGGGCCTGGCTCCCAGGCAGGCAATTGGGTTCAGGAGCCTGACATCATTATGCTCAGGCCCAGGACAGCACCAGTGGGATTGACCGTGTCCCCTTCCCATTGCCTCCTTGCCCTGCCTCCTTGCCCTCTCTCCTGCCCTTTTCCTGGGAAGCCTGATTCTGAGGTCCTCAGCAGCTGACATCTACGGAAAGGGGCAACCGTAATTTAGTGCAGGAATGCATCCCATTCTGGTGGTGGGATATTTCTGGGATTGGAGCCTGGGAAGCTCTTGGATTGTGTAGGGGATGGGAGGGGTCAACTATGACTTTTCTAGACCAGGGCACCCACAGCCCTGGTGGAGGCAAGGAATGCAGGTCAGCAGCATGAAATGCCCCAGTTAGCACAGGGCCAGACACAGCATCGCTGTTCTTCCTCTGTGGGTCCTGGGGAAGGCCTCCAGGGAAGCTGGAGTGTGACCCCACATATGCTGGTGGGGGGCCTGGGACCTGTGTTCCGGCTGGGACGATGAAGGTTAATGTGCAGCTAGGGAGGGGCCTTCTGCCTCATTTCCCACAGGCATTATCGAGCACTTCCTAATACCAATGATTAACATTTATGTGTCCTTTTACAGCTGGCTAACCCTGTCCACAGCCATGAGCTCATCAGTCCTCAGCACAACCCCACAGGCTAGGTATTATTAACCAGTTTTGGAGAGAAGCTGAAGTTACTTTCCCAGAGTCCCGGTGGAACTTGGATTCGACACAGGCATTCTGAGTTCATGAACTTCCCACTGCCACGTGCAGCTCCCTGTGGACTAAGCTCCATTCTCTCTGCAGACAACCCACAGGCCTAAACTTGCCATGGGGCATAAAGGCTAGATGGGAGCATGAGCAAGTAGCACATCCCCTGGAGTTCTGGGGGGCCCCCTTTCTGGAAGAGAGGATGCCTCTCATCAGACTGGACCAAGTGCAGCCCTTTGCGGAGGCAGAGAGATTGACACCATGAACATGTGAGGGTCACAAAGGCCGCACAACCAGAGGGCACCTGGAACCAGCAAACGAGTTGACTTTTATTAAGCTCTGACAGTGGGCCAGATATGATGAAGATGCCCGCATGTGTGTTCTTCTATGAATGCCCGCCTCCCTCCAACCCTGGGCGGTGGCCCTCACTATTTCCATTCTAGAAAAGGAAACCGAGCTGCAGAGCAGAGGGGGAACTGGCCCAATGCCGTCCAGCTGGGGCAGGTGGCTGGAGCGGAGGACTGGGAATTGGCTCCCAGAGTGTCTGAATCCTCTCTCTTGCCTGCCCTTACCTCACGGCTAAGCTCCCCCACTCTCAGGTTGCACCCACGAGAGAGGCTTAGAGCCTCCCCATCCAGGCCCAACCTGCCAGCCCAGTCCAGGCAGCCCCTCACAAGATGGTTTTCTTCACATGGTCTCGGGGGTGGTCTGGTAAGAGAGGAGGATGACTGTCTGAGCCCAGAAAGATGAGGTCACCCGAAAGGAGGTCGTCTTGTTTGCAGGAAGAGGTGGTGCCATGTGGGTGATGACCTGTGTACATGGCTCGGGCTTTCCTTGCTGCCAGGCACTCGTGGCACCTCTTGCTCACCAGGTAGATGAGCTCCACGAGGTTAAGCAGGATGCAGATGGCAGCTGTGGCCACCATGAAGAGGGTGAAAATGTTCTTCTCTGACGGTTTGGAGATGAAGCAGTCCACTATATTGGGACATGGATCTGCGTGGCACTTGACCACAGGAGGGAGGATATATTTGGGGTAGAGTGAGTGGAACACATAGAGAAAGGCGATGTCCACGCTGGCCTTGAACACTAGGCTGCAGACGTATGTCCACCAGAGCCCACCCCGCTTCTTGCCAGGGTTCAGGTAGAGGCGCCCACTGTTCTCCCCATGGGCTTCTCGGTGCCTCTTCTCCTGAACCTCCCGGTAGGCCACGTGCATGACCACGAGCAGGGAGGGGCACGTGACCAGGATAAGCTGCAGGGCCCAGAGGCGCACATGGGACACGGGGAAGAACTCATCGAAGCAGACGTTGGAGCAGCCAGGCTGGAGAGTGTTGCAGTCGAAGTCCTTGTGGTCGTCACTCCACACACGCTCGGCTGTCACCAGGTACACCAGCACACGGAAGATGAAGACCAGAGACAGCCAGATGCGCCCAAAGGCTGTGGAGTACTTGTTGACCCCACTCAGGAGTCCCTCAAAGATACTCCAGTTCATGGTGGACCCACGCGTCAGCTGCTACTGCACGGAAACGAAAACAACAATTTCCTACATTTATCACAGACTTGCTCTGAGCACTTTGTAGAAATATGTCATCGCATTTCATCCTCACCACTACTAGAGGAGCTAGGTTCTACTACTGTCCCCATTTTATAGAGGGAGGAAGCTGAGGTTTAGAGGCATTATACAAGGTTACACAACTATTAGGTGCAGGGCTGGGATTTGAGCATAGGTAATTTAAGTCCAGAACCCAACTCTTACCAATAAAAGTGGATGAGGGCAGGTCCAGGGAGCCACTCATTCCTCCCAGGGCCTGAGGCTGTGGTCTTGGGGTTCTGCAGAGTGAAGACTTACGGAGTTGGGACATTCTGCCTGCTCCCTCTATTTCAACCCTGGCCCTCCTCCTCAAGGGACTGAGCCTTGAGATGGTTCTCTCCTTTCTGAGCACTGCTGCCTCTTCTCAGACAGCCCCTTCCCCAGGGGAACCTGCTCTTTGTTCTTTTCTTGGCTCAGAGATGGGACTAGAAAGGAGGCTGGAACCTTGTTCCCAAGCCCCCATCTGCTCTAACACGCTGTAATTAGCCAGGCAGAGTCCTGCTTAGTGCCACTCATCCGAAGCATGCCAGTGCAATCCAGCTGAAAGCTAAAGCAGACAGCAATGAATTCTCCTCATGCAGTTGGCTGCCTAGAGTAGCCTGGTATTCCAGTGTTTCCCAAACAGTGTTCCCTGAAACCCTGTCCCATAGGTTGGCAATAGGAGAAGCGAGAGAAGAGGATTCTGTGTCAAGAAAAGTTGGCAAACGTTGGGTTTAGTAAAGTTAAATAGGGTTCTTTAGCTCAACCGTGCTAAGAAGCTCACTAATAAATTCACCAAAAGAGGTATGAAATATGTGGCATTGCCCAAACTCCTTTGCCCACAGAAGCCCTTTTCCTCCTTTTGTCATCTTGTGGAACAGCCTTGTCAAGACATCAAGTGGGAAATGCTGCTCCTGTCACTTCTGCTGGTGAATTTGGCCTGATGGACTCACAGAATCAGATTCACCTCCAGGTAAGGACCGTGACTGCAGAGTAAGGGCTCCCCACGTCCTCAGCTGCGAGTCCTCTGCCTGACTCCTGGGGATGGGGGTGTGTCCACTGAGACCCATGCACTGTGGTTTCGACCAACGGTGCACCCTGGGGCCCCAAGGAACCAGTCTGCCTAGCTGCTAAAGGGCTCAGGACGGTCTTCTCGTGCTGGTGCAGGCTGAAGCCCACCAGGCTGTCCCGAGCCTCCACAGAGACAAAGCAGAGGAGTGATAACAGCCAATATCCATGAAGCATTCGTGCCGTGCCGGGCACTGCTCTAAGTTCTTTGCATGAATCAGTACATTATTCCTTCACAGCAACCTTAGGAAAGGGCATATTTTTTATTCCCAATTTACAGATGAGGAAAGAGGAACACAGAGGGATTAATTAACTTGCTCAATGTCACACAGCTAGTAAGTGGCAGGGCTAGGATTTGAACCCAGATAGGCTGGCTCTAGAGCCCACCCTCCGGGAACTGCCCAGCCTTAGGCCTCAGACCCTTTCCTCAAGTTTCAATGAGCTGCCTGCCTGTTTGAGTGCAGACGGATTCTGTCCTCCCCGCTGTGCGTGGATCCTGGATGAGGGTGGCTGGGGGTTGGACGGCGGATGGGTAGGGGTGGG